ATTGCCAGTGTCAGTACCTTGAGGGTTGGATTGAGTCATAATTCTACACATGCTGGTTGGGCAAGCTCACAGGAGAGGTGAGCTTTGAGCAGGGCCCTGTAGGAGGTGAAGGAGGGAGCCATGCAGACATGGAGAAGAAGACAGAGGAACAAGAGGGCTACAAGGAAGGATGTCAAGGGGCTGAAGGAACAATGTGCTGGTGGAACGGGGGACAGTGAGTGACAGCAGAGTGAGTAAAGGGCAACAGCAGAAGCTGGGTTCCCTAAGGTGACAGGTTACCTGCTCAGAGAGAGTCTCAGGCCACCGTGTGTCCCAGGGCTTGTGCTTTTTGGGAGAAGGGTTGCCACAGGTTGGCTCACGTGATGTGTCCAAGGGTCCCAGTTTTTTTTTTTTTTTAGTGATAGAGTCTCACATTATCGCTCTTGATAGAGTGCTGTGGCGTCACAGCTCACGGCAACCTCCAACTCCTGAGCTTAGGCGATTCTCTTGCCTCAGCCTCCCAAGGAGCTGGGACTACAGGCACCTGCCACAAAGCCCAACTATTTTTTGTTGCAATTTGGCTGGGGCTGGTTTTGAACCTGCCACTCTTCGTGCCCTACTCACTGAGCAACAGGTACCTCCCAGGTCCCAGTTGTTTGCTGTTGTTTTCTCTTCAATTGATTATAGGTCATTTGAGTGCAGGGACAATATTTAGGTAGTCATTCATTCATCCATCTATTGCTTTATTCAGCAAACACCTATTGAGTACCTACTATGTGCCGGCTGCAGTGAGTTCTAAGATAAGAAGCTCACCAACTAGTGGAATGAAAGAGAAGCAAAGCACAGACATCAGTGCCATGTGTCCTGTGTCCTAGTCTGACGTAAAATTTCATCCACAGCCCAAAGCACCCTCACCCTCCTCCAGCACCACCTGTCCCATCCAGAGTCTCCAAGCCCAGGTCTCTAGTTCTCTCTGACTGGTCCAGATATAGTGCCTCATGTTCCCACCGCCAAGTGCCAAATGATCCATTTACTCCTCGGCTGACAACCTTAGTGCACAGTGTAGATAAGAAAACACAGGTTAACAGCAGTACAATTCCCCTTTAGAAGAGGTGAGTAGGGAAGCAGCATTCCATGGCAAATATGACACCTGTGGGCTCTTGCTCCAATAGTGGTCAAGGTTACATGGTCAGCTCTCCAGCTGCCCATGCACTAAGTAGGGGTTGGAAGGTGCTTCTTTACGATCCTCTGTGGCTGTGCCTGGCATGGGATGGGGCAGGCAAGGGGCCAGATTCCTAAACTCCTCTTCTAGAGGCCAGGCTACCATGTGTTTATTTCCACATTCCCAGCATCTGCGCATAGTAGGTTTTCAATATGTGCTTGTGGAGTTTATACTAGTGGTGTGCCCCTAGAACACCACCTGCGCATACACAGGGCAGACACTTCGGTCAGGCTGTGGAGCCTGGGAGGGCATCAAGGATGACCCTGAATTTGTGGTTTGGAGGACAGTGATGGAACTATCCATCCCTGCAACAGGGAACACAGGCAGAGCAGCAGCTTTGGGACAAGTAGGGGATTTGTTTTGTGATGCCAAGGTAGAGGCACCCACAGGATATTCAAAGGCCTGGAAGTCTCCAGACCAAAGAATGATACTATAGGCCAAAGAAAGGGGGGCAAGAGCTGGGAGCGAGTGAGTTAGGGTCTGGGCATGAACTGGGGTTAGATATCAGAGGTAGAACAGCAAGGTGGTGACTAGAGCAAGGCCAGGGAGGGGATGAGGAGGGAGGGAGTGATAGCCCTGCAGAGGTCAAGGAAATTCTGTGAGCCACAGCCTACACTGCCTCAGTGTCCCCTCCACTTGGCTGGCTCAGGGTCAGCTAATGTTCCAGCCACAAGTTCACGGGACTGCTAAAAGGAGGACTAAGACCTCTGAGGGGGAGTGGGCCTGCTGTTTCCATGGCAACCTTCTTCACAAGTTGCCTCACAGATGAGGAGGGGAACCTCAGACCCTGGTACCACATGGAGAAGGTTGGACCACTCAGAGGCTATGTGTTGTGGGAGGGAACACCAGACTTGTCCTGATGGCATCTTTGAGGATGTAAACCTCAGTTTCAAGGCCTTCAGAGACACTTCTCTAGAGAGGCTTGGCCTGAGCAGACAGTGTTCTACCACAGAATCTGTGGCCCCAGGGCAGCTGTGAGTGAGGTGGGGTAGGCTGCAGGTGGAGGGTGGGGAACAGTCTACTTCCTACCACAAGGGACAGAGCCCTGCTGAGCAGAATGAATGAAAGATTTCAAGCATTTGTAAACATATGAATGAGTGTTCAGGGGATCCCTGGAACTGGAAGAAGGGTGCCCCAGGGCTGGGAGAAGGGTGGCCTTTGATCAATGTTTACTGGGCAATGAGTGAGTATGGGATGAGGACTCAGGCTTCCTGAGCCCACAGACTGGCCATAAGTCCTAAATAAATAAACGTAGTTATTTCCCACAGTCCACTTGGAGGGTGATGAAGTATGTCTCTCCCTCCGGGAACATCAACAAATCATCCCTCTGCAGTTGTACTTGAAGTTTAGCTCCTCAGCCAGCAGCTGGAGGCTGCTTTCCCTTTCCCCACCAGAGCTGGGGAGGCTGGGGGCAGGGCGATAAGCAGCCCCTGTTACTTCCCGGGTGGGATGCAAAGCACCACTCTCCCTTTTATTCTCACTCTCAGAGTTGGACGGCTTGGATCCTTCTAGCAATCCAGGACTCAAGCCAGAACATTCCTTCTCCCTCTCTCTCTCCCTCCCTCCTTCTGTCTTTCCTGAAATGGATTTTGAGTCCATAGGGGGCTCTGCCACATCTGCTCAGTTTCTTGCACGGCACCACCCCACAGGCATATTCCGTGCAGTGCTGCAGGCTGCCACCAACCTGAGCGCCCATGTCTAGCGCAGGGCAGGCTCTGCAAACGTGAAGAGACCCCCTCACTGCTTGCCTTGGAGCTTCCAACTGGCTCCTAGGACAGGAAGCAACCGGAGAAGGTGGCAACACTTCAGAGTGGCAGCAGCTCCGGACCGCAAGAGCTCCCTTGACCTTCGGTCTTCCTGTGCAGTGAGGTTGGGGCTAGGTGCTCAGGACACATGGGAGCCCCGAGCTGCTGGGGGATGTGCCCCTTATCTCCCCACACAGGGGTCTGTTCTCTCGCAGGCCCAGCTGCCCTGCTAGGGCCATCTGCTAGGATCAGGTCTGTGACGGAGTTCTCATGTAAGGGTTCTGCGAGTGGGCAGTTCTTACCTGCCTTCTTGCTGCATCTGGAGGGCCCCAGCCCCAGCCCAGGGCTGCTGGCTGGGCAGAGGGTTGGAGTTGGGATGCACTCACAGTTGATGTTATCTCGTGGCACTCTGGGGAGCATCCAGCCAGCAGTTTGATGCAAGTAATGAGATGTCAGGATGCATCCGTCCATCCATTCATCTCAGATGTGTCCTTCTCCAGTGTCTCTCGCTGGGGACTCTGGAAACACAGGGTAGAGTGTGGCCAAGGAAGAGGGAGGCCGGGCCATGGCTTCTGTCATCCATCTCTCCCTAGCACTTAGTGCCTGTGGCCCAGTGGACTTGACGTGGGGTCATCTCCGGAGCATGCGCAGAAGGTGCATCACTGTCTGTGCATCTGAGCTGCAGGAGCTATGGCAGCAGCCAGCGAGGGCTTGCTGTCCTTATGGGCAGTTCTGCCTGCAGCAGCGGTCCAAGCCCTGGTGTGGTACTGATCAGGCACATCCTGTGTCTAACCCAGTGTTAGACCCAAGGAGATTGTCAATCTATAGGTGATGGGCCAGGTGCAGTGGCTCACGCCTGTGATCTTGGCACTGTGGGAGGCTGAGGCGGGTGGATTGCTTGAGCTCAGGAGTTTGAGATCAGCCTGAGCAAGAATAAGAGCACCATCTCCACTAAAAATAGAAAAACTACTTGGTATGGTGACGCATACCTGCAGTCCCAGCTACTCAGGAGGCCGAGGCAAGAGGATTGTTCAAACCCAAGAGTTTGAGGTTGTTGTGATCTATGATGCCATGGC